TACCTGTCCCACACGTCACTGTCCACACCGGCCTACTGTCCACACAGACCCCTACTGTCCACACCCGCCTACTGTCCACACCCCCTACTGTCCACCACCGCCTACTGGTCCACACCGTCACTGTCCACACCCGCCTACTGTCCCACACCGCCCCTATCTGTCCCCACCGCCTATCTGGTCCACACCGCCTACTGTCCACACCGACTACTGGTCCACACCGCCAATGTCCCACCCGCCCACTGTCCACACCGCCCACTGTACCCACCGCCCCCCACTGTCCACACCGCCCCACTGTCCACGCGGCCTACTGTCCACACCGTCCACTGTCCCACACCGCCACTGTCCACGGCCGCCTACTGTCCACACCGTCACTGTCCACACCGCTTACTGTCCACACCGTCACTGTCCACACCGCCTACTGTCCACGAGCCGCCTACTGTCCACACCGCCTACTGGTCCACACCGCCTACTGTCCACACCGCCTACTGTCCACACCGCCACTGTCCACACCGCCCACTGTCCACACCGCCTACTGTCCACACCGCCACTGTCCACACCGCCCACTGTCCACACCGCCTACTGTCCACACCGCCTACTGTCCACACCGTCACTGTCCACACCGCCCACTGTCCACACCGCCCCACTGTCCACGCGGCCTACTGTCCACACCGTCACTGTCCACACCGCCCACTGTCCACGCCGCCTACTGTCCACACCGTCACTGTCCACACCGCTTACTGTCCACACCGTCACTGTCCACACCGCCTACTGTCCACACCGCCTACTGTCCACACCGCCTACTGTCCACACCGCCTACTGTCCACACCGCCTACTGACCACACCGCCACTGTCCACACCGCCCACTGTCCACACCGCCTACTGTCCACACCGCCTACTGTCCACACCGCCTACTGTCCACACCTGCCTACTGTCCACACCGCCACTGTCCACACTGCCTACTGTCCACACCGCCACTGTCCACACTGCCTACTGTCCACACCGCCACTGTCCACACCGCCTACTGTCCACACACGCCTACTGTCCACACCCCGTCCACACTGCCTACTGTCCACACCGCCTACTGTCCACACCGCCTACTGTCCACACCGCTACTGTCCACACAGCCTACTGTCCACACCGTCACTGTCCACACCGCCCACTGTCCACACCGCCCACTGTCCACGCCGCCTACTGTCCACACCGGTCACTGTCCACACGCCTACTGTCCACACTCGTCCACTGTCCACACCGCCCACTGTCCACACCGCCCACTGTCCACACCGCCCACTGTCCACGCGGCCTACTGTCCCACACCGTCACTGTCCACACCGCCCACTGTCTCCACGCCGCCTACTGTCCACACCGTCACTGTCCCACACCGCTTACTTGTCCACACCGTCACTGTTCCACACCGCCTACTGTCCACACCGCCTACTGTCCACACCGCTACTGTCCACACCGCCTACTGTCCACACCGCCTACTGTCCACACCGCCACTGTCCACACCGCCCACTGTCCACACCGCCTACTGTCCACACCGCCACTGTCCACACCGCCCACTGTCCACACCGCCTACTGTCCACAGCCGCCTACTGTCCACACCGTCACTGTCCACACCGCCCACTGTCCACAACCGCCCACTGTCCACGCGGCCTACTGTCCACACCGTCACTGTCCACACCGCCCACTGTCCACGCCGCCTACTGTCCACACCGTCACTGTCCACACCGCTTACTGTCCACACCGTCACTGTCCACACCGCCTACTGTCCACACCGCCTACTGTCCACACCGCCTACTGTCCACACCGCCTACTGTCCACACCGCCTACTGTCCACACCGCCACTGTCCACACCGCCCACTGTCCACACCGCCTACTGTCCACACCGCCACTGTCCACACCGCCTACTGTCCACACCGCCTACTGTCCACACCGCCACTGTCCACACTGCCTACTGTCCACACCGCCACTGTCCACACTGCCTACTGTCCACACCGCCACTGTCCACAACCGCCTACTGTCCACACCGCCACTGTCCCACACTGCCTACTGTCCACACCGGCCACTGTCCACACCGCCTACTGTCCACACCGCCTACTGTCCACACCGCCTACCTGTCCACAACCGTCACTGTCCACACCGCCCACTGTCCACACCGCCCACTGTCCACGCCGCCTACTGTCCCACAACCGTCACTGTCCACAACCGCCTACTGTCCACAACCGTCACTGTCCACACCGCCCACTGTCCACACCGCCCACTGTCCAACACCGCCCACTGTCCACGGCGGCCTACTGTCCACACCGTCACTGTCCACACCGCCCACTGTCCACGCCGGCCACACTGTCCACACACGTCACTGTCCACACCGCTTACTGTCCACACCGTCACTGTCCACACACCGCCTACTGTCCACACCGCCTACTGTCCACACCGCCTACTGTCCAACACCGCCTACTGTCCCACCGCCTACTGTCCACACCGCCACTGTCCACACCGCCCACTGTCCACACCGCCTACTGTCCACACCGCCACTGTCCACACCGCCCACTGTCCACACCGCCTACTGTCCACACCGCCTACTGTCCACACCGTCACTGTCCACACCGCCCACTGTCCACACCGCCCACTGTCCACGCGGCCTACTATCCACACCGTCACTGTCCACACCGCCCACTGTCCACGCCGCCTACTGTCCACACCGTCACTGTCCACACCGCTTACTGTCCACACCGTCACTGTCCACACCGCCTACTGTCCACACCGCCTACTGTCCACACCGCCTACTGTCCACACCGCCTACTGTCCACACCGCCTACTGTCCACACCGTCACTGTCCACACCGCCTACTGTCCACACCGCCTACTGTCCACACCGCCTACTGTCCACACCGCCTACTGTCCACACCGCCTACTGTCCACACCGCCACTGTCCACACCGCCCACTGTCCACACCGCCCACTGTCCACACCGCCCACTGTCCACACCGCCCACTGTCCCACGCGGCCTACTGTCCACACCGTCACTGTCCACACCGCCCACTGTCCACGCCCGCCTACTGTCCACACCGTCAACTGTCCACACGCCTTACTGTCCACACCGTCACTGTCCACACCGCCTACTGTCCCACACCGCCTACTGTCCACACCGCCTACTGTCCCACACCGCCTACTGTCCACGACCGCCTACTGTCCACCCCGCCACTGTCCACACCGTCCCACTGTCCACAACCGCCTACTGTCCACACCGCCACTGTCCACACCGCCCACTGTCCACACCGGCCTACTGTCCACACCGCCTACTGTCCACACCGTCACTGTCCACACCGCCCACTGTCCACACCGCCCACTGTCCACGCGGCCTACTGTCCACACCGGTCACTGTCCACACACCGCCCACTGTCCACGCCGCCTACTGTCCACACCGTCACTGTCCACACCGCTTACTGTCCACACCGTCACTGTCCACACCGCCTACTGTCCACACCGCCTACTGTCCACACCGCCTACTGTCCACACCGCCTACTGTCCACACCGCCTACTGTCCACACCGCCACTGTCCCACACCGCCCACTGTCCACACCGCCTACTGTCCACACCGCCACTGTCCACACCGCCTACTGTCCACACCGCCTACTGTCCACACCGCCACTGTCCACACTGCCTACTGTCCACACCGCCACTGTCCACACTGCCTACTGTCCACACCGCCACTGTCCACACCGCCTACTGTCCACACCGCCTACTGTCCACACCGCCACTGTCCACACCGCCTACTGTCCACACCGCCTACTGTCCACACCGCCTACTGTCCACACCGTCACTGTCCACACCGCCCACTGTCCACACCGCCCACTGTCCACGCCGCCTACTGTCCACACCGTCACTGTCCACACCGCCTACTGTCCACACCGTCACTGTCCACACCGCCCACTGTCCACACCGCCCACTGTCCACACCGCCCACTGTCCACGCGGCCTACTGTCCACACCGTCACTGTCCACACCGCCCACTGTCCACGCCGCCTACTGTCCACACCGTCACTGTCCACACCGCTTACTGTCCACACACCGTCACTGTCCACACCGCCTACTGTCCACACCGCCTACTGTCCACACCGCCTACTGTCCACACCGCCTACTGTCCACACCGCCTACTGTCCACACCGCCACTGTCCACACCGCCCACTGTCCACACCGCCTACTGTCCACACCGTCACTGTCCACACCGCCCACTGTCCACACCGCCCACTGTCCACGCGGCCTACTGTCCCACACCGTCACTGTCCACACCGCCCACTGTCCACGCCGCCTACTGTCCACACCGTCACTGTCCACACCGCTTACTGTCCACACCGTCACTGTCCACACCGCCTACTGTCCACACCGCCTACTGTCCACACCGCCTACTGTCCACACCGCCTACTGTCCACACCGCCACTGTCCACACCGCCCACTGTCCACACCGTCACTGTCCACACCGCCCACTGTCCACACCGCCACTGTCCACGCCGCCTACTGTCCACGCGGCCTACTGTCCACACCGTCACTGTCCACACCGCCCACTGTCCACGCCGCCTACTGTCCACACCGCCCACTGTCCACACCGCCCACTGTCCACACCGCCTACTGTCCACACCGCCACTGTCCACACCGCCACTGTCCACACCGCCCACTGTCCACGCGGCCACTGTCCACACCGCCTACTGTCCACACCGCCCACTGTCCACACCGCCTACTGTCCACACCGCCCACTGTCCACACCGCCCACTGTCCACACCGCCCACTGTCCACACCGCCTACTGTCCACACCGCCACTGTCCACACCGCCCACTGTCCACACCGCCTACTGTCCACACCGCCACTGTCCACACCGTCACTGTCCACACCGCCTACTGTCCACACCGCCTACTGTCCACACCGCCTACTGTCCACACCGCCACTGTCCACACCGCCACTGTCCCTGTCCCGTTAACCGCCGCGTTTGTCCCCCCGGATGCCAGCGACCGCGGCCTCGCGAAGCGACGACGACGCCGCCGCCGCCTCCTCCTCCTCCTCCGACGACGACGGCCGCCCCCCCGTCAAGCGCCACCGCAACCGCCTCGACTCCTCCTCCTCCTCCTCCTCGTCGTCCTCCGCATCGCCCGCACGGCGCGACGACGACCGGAGGAACGGCCGGGAGGGAGCCGCCTCGTCGGAACGGGCGCCGGCCAACGGAGCGAGGACGGCCGTCGGCGCCGGCGACGGCGGGGGTCGCCCGCCGGCGCCGTTGCCGCGGGCGACCCCCGTCCCACCGGGCCTGTCCTCGTCGACGACGACGAGGAGGAGGGTGGACGGCGACGAGGGCGGTGGCGGCGGCGACGCGGCGGAGGAGGAGGAGGACGTCGACGACGTGGACCTCCTGGACGTCGCCGACCTGGTTGAGTACGTGTGCAGCAGCGGCAGCGTGCTCTAACCGCACCGCCCCGCGGGCCCGTGGCCGGCGGCTCGTGGCCGGCCGGCCGCCGCCGCCGCCACCGCCGCGGTCGTTTGGCTGGTGGCTTGACTTTGCTCTTTACTTTTTTTTTTACAACCACGTGACTTTAACCGCCCGGCTATCATTTGTGGAGAGGAGGGGGAGGGCGGGGGTGGGGCGACCGGGCTCAACGGAACAATTCCTCCCCCCGTCCGCCACGTTGGCGCGCAGAAGCGGCGTCCATCCGTAAGTCTCCTGTGAGCAACGCGGCGGCGGCGACGACGACGGGCGGCGATGGCGGCGATCGGAAATGTACTAATGACGGAGCAATCGCCAAAACGGTGTTCACTTTTGAGACTTTTATTTTTTGTACTGTTGTAATGGCACGTTAGACGCCCACCTCACCCTCCCCCACCTCCCCCCCCCACTCCTCTTCCGGCGGTGGCGGTGGCAGAAATGAACGGAGCGATCCCGTGCCCGCCGCGCTGCTGTAACGAACCGCCGCCCCCCCTAACCCCCCTACCCCCCCCCCGACAGAAGAAAGCGCCGTCCAAATATTTCTCAAGACGCGTTTGTAATTACATCGCTCACGCCGCTCTCGCTAACGGTGTGCGACGGACGGGTTCCCGCGGCGGAAATTCCACATTGCCGTGGCAAGATGGAGCCTTGTACACCCCTCTCACCCCCCCACCGCCCCCACCAATACCTGCATAGCACGGCCTCCACGTCCGACATCATCTGCACAAAGTGGTACTCGTTTTATGGACCGTGAAGAACCGATGATGGTGATGACGACGAAGGTGATGGGCGGGGATATGAACTTTGTGACCTTCAGTTGCTTGAGAAGTCGATCTCCCTCCACGGCCGGCATGAACTGAGAGTAGTCGTAGTGTTATCATTATTAGTGTTATTATTATTATCATTATACTTGTTATTAATGCTGTCGCATAATTATTCTTTGTGTACATTCGTTCGCCGACGCTTTTCTACAAGTGGGTCCGTCGCTGTGGGCGTGAAGCCGGCTCCACTCCCCCCCCCCTCCCCTCCCCCAGCGTCCCCCCCTCCGAGCAACAACCCTAGCAACTCTGGTTGCTCGGGTTGCTGCATGCTGAGCGCCGCCGCGACCTTTGACCTTCGCCGCAAAACCATTCCGGCGTCCGGTCAGCAGTTCTTGAGCTCGCCCCAACTTCCCACTCGACCAACTTCACGTGCGGGTGAAGGTTTGCAAACCTGACACGGGCGACATCTTCCTTCCTTCCTTCCTCGCCTCCCGACATCCAAAATAAGCCACGCGTGGCTCAGGCCGGGTGTACCAGGCCGGGTGTACCAGAGCCGGCTGGGCCGGGTGGACCAGGCCGGGGTGTACCAGGCCGGGTGTACCAGAGCCGGGTGTACCAGAGCCGGGTGTACCAGGCCGGGTGGTACCAGAGCCGGGTGTACCAGGCCGGGTGTACCAGAGCCGGGTGTACCAGGCCGGGTGTACCAGGCCGGGTGTACCAGGCCGGGTGTACCAGGCCGGGTGTACCAGGCCGGGTGTACCAGGCCGGGTGTACCAGGCCGGGTGTACCAGGCCGGGTGTACCAGGCCGGGTGTACCAGAGCCGGCTGGGCCGGGTGTACCAGGCCGGGTGTACCAGGCCGGGTGTACCAGGGCCGGGTGTACCAGGCCGGGTGGGCCAGGTGTACCAGGCCGGGTGTACCAGAGCCGGGTGTTCCGCGCCAGCCCCAAGCGGGATCACGGTTCACGTTTTTGGCGAGACGGGAAAGTCCGAGGGAGGTGGGGGGGGGACCCCGCGTGCGGCCGTGGAAATCTCCACCTGATGTAATCTGCCGATAGGGCAAGAGACTTGCTGAATGGGTTCCCCCACAAATGACCAAAAGTCCTAATGCTCGGCTCGGCAATCCCTGGGACTTGGCCGAGGGGATGCGTGCATTTTTTATTTGTAGTTCGCTGCCTCCGCGCGGTGCGAAACTTGGCAAAAAGGAGGCGTTGCCGTCTGCCCCGTGACTTTGCTAGAGGGGTGGGGGATGCTCCAGCGCCGCTCGCAAAACACCAAGTTGCTTACGAACCCGGCGACCCGTCTTCGTTTCCTGCTCACGGCCAACACCGGTGACGATAGCCTGATCCGATCCTGGGCCTCCCCTCCCCCCTCTCGGTCGACTCGGCCTCAAATGAGTACCTGGTGCGGTGTGGAGTAAGCTTCGCCGCTGGAGAGACAAAGGCGGCCGGGAGGGCGTGTTGCCGGCCAACCCCCACCGCCGCCCTCGTGTGCCGTGTCCGGCCTTCGTAGGCGCCGCTACTCGCTAACAGCGCTTGCCCCAACGGTCTGTTACAGGCTACACGGTGGGGGGGGGGGGTCTTTGTGCGTGATGATGGAGTGGTGGCCGTCCGGTTAGCGCACTGCCCTGCGCGCCCGCCAACGTGAGTTTTTATTCCCGCTGACGGCCGACGCCGACGCAGGCGACGATTAGTTTGAACCGACCCTGGGCCCTCCCCTAGGGTCGACTCGGCCTCAAACGAGTAGCTGGTGCGGTGCGCCGTGAACGTCGCCGCTAAAGGAAGACAAAAAGGCGACCGGGCGTGGTGCTGGCCGCCACTTCTCGCGCCATGCCGGCCTTCATAGGCTGCTGCGGCTCGCCAACACGGCACTTGCCCCAAAAGTCTATGGAGGCTACACCGGGAGGGAGGGAGGCAGCGGGCGGGGGGAGGTCTTCCCGGCAACTTCCCACACGGACATCGTTATCGTTCACGACGACACGAGTGAATGGGTTTGCGTCACGTGTTATACATCGTTCCGCGTTGAACCCGGATCCCATTTCTAACCGATGAGGGGGGAGGGGGGGGGTGTCCTTCATTGTCTCAGCGGTGCACAAGGCCGCAACCAACAACAGTAACGGCAACTCTCGACACCTTCCGTGTCAACCACGCCGCGGAGTAACGAGTTTGTCATACCGGGAAGGATCCCGCTGAGCTCTGTGGCTCTTCGTCAGGAGCGACCTGGTAACCACGAACGGTAGCTCAACGTAGCGGGCCTGTCGCCATCATCGCCACGCGGAGACTCACGGCGGCAGCGCGAATACTCTTGAAACGCGTGCCGGTGCTGATTGTAAATGTTGGAGCGAAAACACCGCAGGGCTCCAGAGAGAGAGAGAGACACGCAATCTCCACATATACAGCAGCAGCAGGCGTCAGGGTCGGGATCAAACCCAGGACCTCCTGTACACCAGGTGAGGTAGTCAACATCTCCTAGCCACCGTGATGATGATGAGAGAGACACGCAAACTCCAAATATACAGCAGCAGCAGGCGTCAGGGTCGGGATCAAACCCAGGACCTCCTGTACACCAGGCGGGGTAGTTAACGTCTCCTAGCCACGGTGGCGCCCCAGGTACATATATAATCCGACGTTTCGGGCAATCGGCCCTTGCCTCACAGGACATCAATAATAACGGATGCTCGCATTGCTTTAGGCAAGCCCTCAAGCACACCCCGCCCACCAATACCACGGCGAATAATTGAGTTGACGCATCTTCAGCGCCAAGTACCAACGCCCGCCATTCAATCACGGTGACGTGCCCAAGGTGGGTGCCACGGGATTTGACTGACCTGACCGAGGCGACCGGCAGATGCAACTCGTTACGCGCGGAGGTGGCGGAGCAACCGCGTGGGTCCCGGCTAAGCGCCGCGCGGAGGTGGCGACGAGCCGCCGGGTGCGGTTTGTGTACGGGTACGGAGCAGCCCAGAGCCGCCCCCCCGTGCGGCCCCCCACGCAGGCTTGTTGGGGGGGCGGGGGGGGCCCAAGTGCTGCGGTCGGCACGGGGTAGACGCCTTCCTTCCTGAAGGTCAACACGGCGGGCGAAGGCGGTGTGGTTGGCGCGGCCAGGAAACCCCCGATACGCTTGTGAGGCACGACTTGGCACCGAGCGTGGAGGAGGGCCCGGGGCCTGTTCGGGTGTTTGGTACAGCGACGTTGGGCCGCCAGCGGGAATCCAAATCGTGACTCGGGCGACCGGGTTGGTAGCGGCAGCGCGCGCTAACCGCTGCACCACTCCTCCACCCCACCATTTACCCCCACCGCCATTTACCCCCACCACCATTTACCCCCACCGCCATTTACCCCCACCGCCACCATTTACCCCCACCACCGACGATGCGTTGCAACGCATCGCTGCGAATGCTCGCGAATTCCTCCATTTGGTAAAAACAAAAACGCGCATATACATACATATATATAAATACGGCGTCGCAAAGTTACTCCCTCCTGGCGGGCGAATGTCCGCTTTGCGGGCAATGCGCCGGCTTCACCTTGTGCCACACAGGGGCAGCTGCCCACAGGGGGCGTTGAGGCGAGACCTTCCGTCTTGGGCGACGGGAGTGGGCGGGATGACGAGACGATGATGATGATGGGGAGGTGTGTGGGGGGGTTGGTGGGGGGGGAGGCCGCTCTTCGAGACGCTGCGGCGTTGAAGCGAGCGCCGGTTAAATGCGAATCCTACCCACCCCCTCCCCCCCCTCCTCCCCTCCTCCCCTCCCCGCAATCCCTCCGCGTCAGTCGAGCGACGTTTCCCACGTGCGAGTCCTCGTCGCCGCGCCTGGGAGCGCGTCCTGGACCGCTTCCCGGGGTTCCGTCGGCTCCTAATCGATCGATCCCACCCCTCCGTTGTGGCGTTGGTGATCATCGGCTGGAGCCGTAATGACCCCCCCCCCCACCACCAACACCACCACCACCCCCCCCCCCCGATCTCATTAACACATTGTGACGTCATCTCCCCTCGCGGGCTGTCCGGGAGTGGCTGTCGATCAGAAAACTCCACGTGGTTATTTTTGGTTTCTACCCCCACCACCGCGATCTCATTAACACATTGTGACGTCATCTCTCCTCGCGGGCTGTCGACCAGACAAACGCCACGTGGTTATTTTTGGTAATCTTCCCCCCCCCCCCCCCCCCCCGTTTGCCTTGTGGTTGTTTTACCTGTGTCCGTGTGCACCTTTGTCGGCAGTCTTGTCGACGTGCACACGCGCGTTTTTGTACGTGTGTGTGTACGTACGTGTGTGTACATGTGTGTACGTGTGTGTGTGTACGTGTGTGTACCTGTGTACGTGTGTGTGTACGTGTGTCTGTACGTGTGTGTGTGTGTACGTGTGTGTGTGTACGTGTGTCTGTACGTGTGTGTGTACGTGTGTGTGTACGTGTGTGTGTACCTGTGTACGTGTGTGTGTGTACGTGTGTGTGTACGTGTGTGTGTGTGTGTGTACGTGTGTGTGTACCTGTGTGTGTGTACGTGTGTGTGTGTACCTGTGTGTGTACCTGTGTGTGTACGTGTGTGTGTGTGCCTGTGTGTGTGTACCTGTGCAGCCCATGGGCTTGTAATTACCAACACGCTGTTCCGGCATCGGCGCATCCACACAACATCATGGATGCATGCCGGGTCCAAGCAAGAACATCTGCTGGACTACATAGGGACGGACCAGCGAATGCGAGCCCATGTCCTTGACACCAGGACCTACCGTGGAGCTGATCTGCCCTCTGACCATCGACTAGTCATCTGTAAGATGCGCCTGCCATTCTTCCACTCCGGTGGTGGGTGTACACCCACCAGACCTCCCCAGAGACCCTGGCTGACAGAGGAGGTGTTCAGGATGGTTGAGAAAAAGCGACAGGCCCACTGTCATCGGCTACAGAATCCCACGTCAGAGAATGAGGAGGCTTACCGCAGCCTTCGCTCGGAGGTTCGGAGAGCCGTGAGGCGCTGCAAGGATGGGTGGTGGTCGCGGGTTGCTGAGGAGATGGAGTCTGCCTCAGTGGCCCGTGATCACAAATCTCTATTTAACTCCATCAAAAAAGTAACCTGCAGCGCCACACCTATTAACATCAGGGGAAAAAACGGTGATCCAATCTCTGACCCCCAGGAACAGGTTCGCAGATTTGCTGAGCATTTCTGTGAGGTCCTGGGGGAGGGAA